AGAGAGAGAGAGAGAGAGACAAAGGAAATTCTTATTTTTAGAATCTTTCTCTCCCTCTTTTTCCCTGCCAGTCGAGTATTATACGACTTGGCGATCCTTTACTCGCGAATGGTCCATTTCAAACCGGCGTAGTTTGCTCGCCTCCACTTCCCTAACGATCAGAAAGCTATAATAAATTAAATTCTGCAAATTCCTCTGAACTCGCTGAACTGTTTTTTAATTACTTCACTGTCCCCTTTCGTTTCGTTCTTCGCTCGTCACGCGCAAGCTATGAAAAATTGGCTGCCGCGATCGCGGAAGAAATCCTAAGGAAAGGCAATTCGAACGATTTTCCATTTTATATGATTTCATTCGGCAGAACGTGCAAAGTCCAGTTCTACCGTGCAAAAAATCAATGAAATCACCATTTCCAGCCCACGAGCAAATTGCCGATTACTTGGCCGATTAGCCGGCTTCCAACGGAATCTTTACCGATCGATGGATCTCTGCTTGGTTTGCAGGTCACCGTTCCTGAATCATCGTTGATCAACCGCGGAGCCGGCTATCGCGCTTCCGACCGCTTGTTATCCCGCGAATTAACGCGAGGTCGTCGTTAATTAATCGATGAATCGACGCGGCGGCAAATAACGGGACAGCGCGTGTCGTCTAGATCGATTTCTCCGAAACTGTCTCTCGAGATTGCGACGGCTTCGATGTGAAGAAGTAGAGGAGATTAGGAACAAAAGGGTCCAAAGACATTTTGACATTGCGGTCGACGAGAACGGAGTGGCGACGAAAGAAGCAAGTGAGGAACGCGAACGTGACGCCTCGTGAGATCTCGACATCCAGCAACTTGCGGAGAAGTTTCACGGAGGTGTCTAAACTCGGCGGAATTGGGCGAAAGGCAACGACGAATCGAAAGGGAACGACAGGTAACGGGATAGGAAGTGGCGTTGAAAGGATCGAGCAAGTAGCAGTGACACGTTTCGACGACATGTCTGTAACTGACGAGATCGAAGAAAAGACGACAGCGCGGGAATAAGAGAGGGCTCGAGCCCGGTGGAGAAAGCTCTGGGTTAAAAGGGGATAAAAGGCGTGGAAAAAAGAAAAAAGAAAAAGGAAAGAACAAGGTGACGTTAAGAGCAACGGGGGAATCTTGACAGAAAGAAACGACCTTCGGGCTAGAGATCTAATAACAAGAGGACACGAGGCTAGAGAGAATATGAAGAGGAAGAAACAAGATTAAGTGGCTGGGGCAACGAAACGACGAGAGATCCGGAGAAGGAGCTCGATGACGGCGAATAATGACACGGAATCGACGCTAAAGGAAAAAGGGAAATACTCGATCGAATGAACAACCGAGCCATAAGTAGGTGGAAGCATGAGAATTCCAAGTGGATGTCTTTCCTCGGCTCGATCGAAGTACTACTCGGTTACACGTTACACCGGCCACCGGCACTCGCGTCACGTATCGAGATCAATTGAGAGGCAAAAATGGGTGCCAACCAGTCAACGCGGAACGAGCCTATTCCTGGCGAAGAAGGTAAGTCCCCTTTCTCTGTCGAACGTGCGTTTATCGTTTAATTTTGACGCGAATGAACGGATCGTGAAGATATTCGAACATTTACTGAAACTTTCGCATGTTTGCAATATCGAGACATTGTTATAATTACAATATTAAACTGATCAGGTGAAATTTCATCTCAAAGCTCTTCTAGAAATAGATGTTCGGATACATTCGTGAATAATATAATATAAGTTTCAATTATTGTCGAAATCTTATTATCGATTTATTGATTTATAGAAGCTTGGAAATTCATTGAAATATTACTTGTAGAATTCGTATCAATGTTTGATTTCAAAGATAAGAGTCATTATATACTTTGACAGGTGATTAGATTTAAGAAATCGTTTTCTTCCTTGAATTCAATATTCGAAATAAATGTTGCCACGATAGAACGACTTCTCCTGGGAACAGATCACTCTGGAGGTTAAATAAAGATCTCAGAAGATAGACTTTGCCTTTGTCTTTAATTGGAGATGTTTAAAAAGTCATGTCAAGAATTTGCTAGTTTAACCGTGAACCAGTTGCCACTGGGATTCGATTAAATCTACCGATTGCTTCTTTCAACGTCTTTCAATTTCTTAACGAAATCCAACGAGACGAATGTTCGAAGAACTACGGCTGTCTCTGTAAACTTAATTAGCAGAAATTGAGGAGATCATTTTACCGTCACGAAGCGGTAGACGGTAATTGCATCTGGCACATCGGACGTTGACAGCCTATTTAGATCATGCGTTTGCGTGATCGTTGGCATGTTCGCGACGCGGGAGATTGAAAGTCATTGAAATTGAAACGATTTCAGAAGAAAGGACCAACAACAACGTTGAACTTCTCTATTACTGCTAAACTAAACTTCACCGTCTAGTTTATACAACTATCGCGCGAGTTCTGGCGCGCAGTCTGAGCAACTTTTCATTTAATTGGTCCTTCGGGGATAACATCGTGGCTTCGTACAATACAATCCTACGTTATAAATCTCCGATTATTTGCCGGTGAAACGGGATTTCGCGGGAATCGTTTTGTTTGCTTTTTCTCCCCCAAAGCTCAGGAAACGATCCTCTGTTGTTAATTCTACGTATCGTTTCTCGTTTCAGTGAACTTCGATCACTTTCAAATCCTCCGAGCCATCGGGAAAGGAAGCTTCGGAAAGGTACGAAAGATAAACTTTCTTCTGTTAACATTAGAGGCTCCTATTTCGGTTGCATGCAAACACACCACGTGTCTGTTTGCACGTGTAACAAATGAATCCCTGTAATCTTGGTCACAACATATCGAAATTCTTCCCGTGATTTCTATATACTAGATATACTAGAAAGTATGTGTAACCGTAAACGAATTCTTCATTTTTCAATAAATATGTATTCTACTAAAGTGTGAATGTTCAGAAACCGCAATCTCTCTAATTATCGCGCGTTCGTTCCTTCCCTTTCGAATCGTGAGAATCCATTTTTCCATGGGAATCGGTAATGCCTTTGAATAATGGAGTTAATGCACGGATTATCGAGCATGACATTAAATTAAAATACGTCATTCATTTGAAATTCAAGCGTTTAAATTCCAATATTCGCGTTGAAATCTTCCAGAGCGAGAATTTTTTCGATTCGGGCGTGTGTTTTAATTCGAAATTTTCAAGCTACACACTCACGTATAAATTGGGGACCATTTTCACATGATTCGAATCCGATCTCTCGAAAAGTACAAATCTCTGACGATATGAGACATTAATATTCATATCGTCAAAATCTTATATCCATTTCAATTATAACATGAAGCTCCATTTATCTGAATTCTATTTGTTCGAGCATATTCTCGTTTATGTTAATGAACTTCTGTCGGCTCCATTCATTCAAATTTCTGTCATCTGGATGAGAAATTATGATAATGGCGACAATT